AGGGAGCGAGTTCTGATGCTTTCACGCGCATACCACGATAGCACACACCCGTGTAAATGTACGCTTCAAACTTTGGATGATGTAAAAGAATCGATGTAATAGCCATGACGCCATCTTGAGCCAAATAGAGACGTGTGCAAAAGAATTTTGAACAGCCTTGTCTTAAATCATGAATAACATTTCGTGCCATGTCTCCGTTTACATATTGATGGAACGTTGCTGTTGATGTATAAGCTCGGACTATTTCAAACGGGTCTTTATTGTCCTTTGCTCGTTGAAAATACTTTTTGATAGTGTTAAAATTTGGTTTTGTCAAGGTACCAACAAGTCTGGTGTCCAGATAGCCCTTATTTATCGCTCCACTGTGTCTCTGGCACGATATATCGTTGGTTTTTAAAAGGGTTTCTACTATGTTGTGTAGCTCTTCCTCAATTTGAGGTGGAATAAGTTCTCATCCTCATCCAGAGTGTAAAAGACACCCTAATACTAAAGGTTTTTCTCAACTACTGCCAAAAAGAATGCGACCTATGGCGCGAATATTTGCCAACCATAGACCCATCTACTTTCTCTGGAGAGGAGGACTACAGAGAAACTGAATGCCATTTTTGCATCCCCATGATTCTAGCTTGATGTTCATACCTTATTCAACCTCAAATTGAGGAAGAGCTACACAACATAGTAGAAACCCTTTTAAAAATCCGCGATATATCGTGCCCGAGACGCAGTGGAGTATTGCGGCTACAGCATGATATACAAGAGTCGCGCTTGAACCTAAACACCCAATGCCACTAGTATAACCAAGACAACCCTCCCTGCATATATTCACTCCTGAAGTGTACCGAGATCCTCGCTTTACACGATAAAATTAACGTGATAAAAGAACGAAAACACGAAAACAAGAAAGGTGACCCGTATACACAGCGTTACCAACTCCCACCCTTACCGTTATATAGCGATAGGGTATCCCCCCCCAAGTTCGTAATCTAGCCATACAAGTAACTGAATATGAACGATATTTGCTGAACAAAGGACCTAAATACATACCAGCAGCACCACTCACAAC